ATAACAGTTACAAAATGGTTCAGGTCTCATATCAAAGGCAAGATTTGGGGCTATGTTACAAAATATACATATTTAAAACAAAAATTGGGAAATAAAAAGTTACAAAATTTTAAAATTTTAAAAGTCGTAAGAAATGTATAAAAATCTTGGTAATTTTTTTATATTTGGGGCTACAAAAAATACAGAATTTTTCAATTTAAAAAAACCGTAAAAAACTTATACAAATTTTTGGCTTTTCTTTCAATATCTCTAACTGACCTTAACAGATCCTGAAATTTTCTAGCAGGTGTTTCTTTAAAGATATGTATTTTTGAACTTCGAAAAAAAAAACATAAATTAATTAAATGAAATTTCCGTAGCACAAATCATCTAAAGTTTGGGAAAAAATTTTTCGAAAATTCAAAAACTTTATAATTAAAAAAAAAACCTAGAAAATTTCAAGATTTTTTTAAGATCAGTTGGAGGTATGGTATAAAGAATTTTAGCAAAAATTTTTACTATGCTGCGTGTGCTCTTATTATTTCTTTAATTCTTTAACTATAATTTTTTTAATTTTTCGGATTTTTTTTAATATTATAATATTTTATATAGCCCCAAATATTACCTTCGTATTTTTTATCTTTAGACATGACCCTCATCGAGAATTTAGACAGATAAGGAAAAATTCCATTAGATGATCTGCTAAGAGGTTTAAAGACGGATAGCTCGGGTGAGCGCTCTGCTAGGTAACACAATGAGCCTGTGCCTTATCTAAGTAAACTTACAACCAGCGCTGCCGGTCTAACTTAACTTGACCTTTGGTTTTTTCACTTGTTCATATATGAAAGGTTTAAAGAGACTGTAAATATATTATTTTGACGTTGTTAAAAAAAATACTTAGAAATCTTTAAGAGTGTCTTGGATGACAGAACTCTTAGCAATTCTCTGTTATGGACCAATCAGCTCATTTATTTAGTTTTAAGCTAAGCTAACAAAAATATTTTTTATGCACATCTGGTCACCCCTTTTACGACTATGCGATGGCGAATTTCAAGTGCGTCCATCTTTTGCCCTTAACCTTCTATTTTTGTACGTAAGTATAGACAATATATGTACATGGCCTGTGGTATGTGCAAAGAAGTATTTCTGACATTTTGAGTACCTGTGCGCATTTACAATAAAATAATATTCAAAATAGACAAGTGCGAAAGTGCAAACATGCATTCTTGTAAAAATGAAAAAAAGCAAATTTGATGATAATCCGATTATAAACAATATTTCATGAATGGTCAATATGTTTGCTGCTTGGTTTATGCTTTTATTTAACCCACAACATACCTACATATGTACATATGTACATATGAAAGAATATAAAACAAAGTCAAAAAAAAAAAAGAGAAACCGTCGAGCACGTGTGAGAAGTATGTCTGAGGCGAAACAAGGTCTGCCGAAAGAAAAACAGATGCCAAACCACAATTTCAGTCAGTACCAGACATTCCGAAGACAGATGGACATTGAAGAGCGAACGAAGAACAGATGAACCGATGAACCAATAATGAAAAGATGGATAAAGCAATGGGAAAAGTTATGAGTATCGAGACATCAAGAAACCGATATGATCGCTGGTGCTAAAGATGGCAAAGAGTGCGAAAGCTTTGCGCCTACGCGGAGGTGGTGGGGATGTGTAGGGAGAAAATGCTGCTCGATGCTTATTGGGTCGTACGATTGCTTGTGCGAAGTGTCTACAAGCGGGGGTGGCGGAGAGCGCGGCAAAATTTTTGAATTTGTAAGTGCTTAAAGAAATTAGAACATGTCAGCGCATCACTTGCTGCCTCTGTCTGCATGCCTGTCTATCAAGCACATTGTCTGTCAATATGAACGTCGAGTTGAAGGATCCCTAGGAGATATTTATTGGATGTAGGTGCGCATTGCAGGAGATTTTCAGTTATAATTTATTTTGTTCTTTTTTTTAATGGGTTGCTTTTCAACATACAAGGTTAGTTTTAGAAAGATTTTTGCAAAATTTAAAGTGTAAATGTCGGGCAGATTTTATTGATTGAAATATGAATTTGAAAGCAGCTTCCGGTTAATGCATTTTTCAACAAAGAAATAATAATCGATGAAGTACTTCAATGATATAAAACAGTGATATCTAATATGTATATATCCCGCAGTATTATGCATTTTTTCAGTCGTTTGGAAAGTAATTGGAATAATAAAATTTCCAAAACAAGACAGAAATTACTATCTAATATTTCGGTATTAAGGTGTCTCGGAAGTTTCTTTGCAAAGCTTAATGGGCTTAATTTCTGAATTTGTTCTTCTCGGTCTAAATAACAAAGGTTAGGTTGAAGCGGCTGCCTTCCGTTGTGATACGAATTGAAAGCGCGAATTCGAACCCGTCTGTTCACCTAGAAGAGGAACCAGTTGATTAGGTTCAGAAAGCGCGAGAATTCGTGGATGCCTGCTTAGATTGGCGAGATAGACAAAAAATGGTGGTGAAATGAGCATCTTCTCGCCCACATGACGCCGGGACAGTGACAGAGGTAGTGCTCCATACTCTCGATTTCGTCTACGTCCATTCGTCCATTCTGCTGGCATGTCATCCCATTAAGCAGTTGCCCGTAATGATATCGGTCACCAGCCTTAGTAGAGACCATTCTAAACAAATGAGTGCGTCGAATCTTTTCTTGTTTAGGCTCGGCCACATTTATCTAGTCGTCCCACACGTGGGCCTTGCGACCATAATATGTTTGCCTTCTCAACGAAGTATGTCCTGAGCCATGTCTTACGGGTCGATATGGGTATGCCCGCTGCATGAGAGGAGTTGACGTCAGACAGGGTAGTTCCTTTCTCGCAAGCTCGTCCGCCGCACAATGACCTTGAATGTCCATGTGGCCCGGCACCCACACGATGTGAGTAGTAGATTTTGAAGCTAGATCGTTAAGGACTTTCGTACATTCTATCACAGTTATAGGCGAGGTCTTACAGCAATCCAGCGACTTGACAGCTGTCTGGCTATCGGAGTAAATAGTTACTGAAGGCAGGTTAAGAGAAGATTCGATAAGCCAGAGTGCAGCCTCTTTTATAGCCGCGAGTTCGGCTTCGAAGACACTGCAGTGGTCTGGTAGCCTAAAGTAGAGATCTAGTGAGAGGTCCTTCGAGTGTATCCCAATCCCTACTCGTAGATTTAGTTTGGAGCCAACCGTGTGGACGGCTGTGGTGTTGTCTTGGAGGCCCCGGACCGAGTCGCGTAGATGGACAATTTGGACAAGCCTAACTTGCAGCAATCAACAAAGCTGCAATATTTCCGATCGATTCTCCTATTAATTTCCATACAGTAGCTATCTTTTCTGATAGCCAGGCAGCTAACAAATACCTTAATTGCGACAAATTGTCTTCGATGATTGTCATGGAGTATAGACGTACCCTTAATAAGCTGGCGATTAGATATGTCACTCATGTCGTTTGTGTGCCAGGGCATAGAGAGGAACCAGGAAATTGTGTTGCGGATTAACTGGCCAGGAAAGGCACCTTACTGTCAGCAATAAGTACTCGAAATCGAAAGCGTAGAGCATTACCTATGTCACTGTCCTGCACTGGCTAGAGCTTGTCAGCGCTTCTTTCTCCACGGTTTCTACGATTTTGTACGCTTCATTATGGCTACAAATTGGTTTTACTTCTAAGGTATGCGAAGGGACGTACCGAGTCTCTGGTATGGCCTCACAATGGGCCCACAGTGACCTAAGTGTGTCCTTCTCCTGTGCTGGTTGCGGAATGCCGAGATAACCTAACAGTACCGAGTAGGTCTAAAACGAACGCGGGCTGGACTCGATCCTATGCTGTTATGTATAGCAAAAGATCGCCAGACACCACGTACAATAGACGAAGTCCATATAGAAGGCAGAACCCGAGCCTCCAATGAAATTGGGTCCAACTGCATAGGCAAAAGTAACGCTACAGGTAAAGCGGAATAACCCAAATCTGGCCCCATTATGTACAGAAATTGGCTGGTTAAGGGGGCGTACAGCTACATAGTTGACTATGACGACACAAGATACCCTGCAGACAAAAACTACCAATTGATTAAAATAACCAACTTCTATTTAGCTAGCTTTTTTGCTGGATTTCGATAAATAACTAACTTTTAATTAGCTATGACAAAACTAACTTTAAGTTAGTTGTAAAGTAGAGCAGGAGTCATGCAGACGTTATCGGGAGTTTGGTTTCCTTAAAAGTTTCTATTTAAATATGCTCATAAAAAATTACTTTCAATACACTTTTCTCTGCACTTCGTAGATTCTTGTTCGTACTCAGGACAAATATAATAAAGATCGGAATTTGATATTAATATTTTGTTGTTATGTCTGATCGAATTCAAATATGAGACCAGCTACTAAGGAACATGTAAATAAATAAGCAAATATTTAATGTTAAATATAAAATAAGTAAATAAATAAAAATATAAAAAATTTAAAAATCTTTTTTTTTTTATTGATAGTTTATGTCCAAGAGTTGTAAGCTACAAGTTAGTTGGCATCTAATGCAGAGGAAACCAGTTCTCACTGCAGGGTAGTAGTCAAAAAAGCTATAGCATATCCATAAGCTCGTCCGAAACTGTTCCAAGTCCGAAATTTTCCATCGCGACCCAGGACATTATTAAAATTTTTTAATAATGCTTATTGAATTTCATTTAAAAAATTGTCTCTTTATGTTCTGGGACACCCTAATATACTTACCTATGATGATGTTTAGATATTCATTAATCGCTTAATTTGAATCATAGTCCCCTTAAACAATACTACAGCAACTAAAGTGAAGAGATTGACATGTGGTGGAGTAAACTAACTAGAAATAGTGTATAAATTCGTAGATAATGCTGAGGGTTGTTAAATAAAAAAGTAAAGCATTCGGAACATTTTACTAATTTAGTTAATTCGCATAAAAAAAAAAAAATTCGAAATAAAACGGCATGCATTAAATTATTTCGAAATTAAAAACTCAATTATTTGTTTGCTTACAAGAGTATCAATATATCCGAAAGGATCATCATCGTCCGACGACGAATCGGAATCTCGGCCATGATCCGCTGGCGGTGGGCATGGATAGAAAGCTTGCGATTTGATTTTCGGTTGCTTTTGCACCCGCCGCAATTCCTCTTCCATTGAGGTGGCGCTGTTGCGTCGTTGACGAAATTGTCGCAGAAACTTTTCAAAATCGGCCCACTCTGAGTCGACCACTTCGACGTTCTCTTCGCCGAATTCTTCGTCATAGCGCGGTTCGCGCGGATGTTCGCGCGCACGATCACGTAATTGAGCATCGCGCGGATGCGGATGCTGATGGCGGCTGGCGAGGTGAACCATTTTTGTTAAGATACAAAATAAACGTTTGCTGTCTTAATTTAATTTGATTGAGTGTATACTTTTGTTAGAGTATTTTTCTGAGTATTTATTATCGTTAAGTTGTTTTTACTGTTTTTTTTTTTAAGTTTGGCTATTGAGGCGTTTGGAAGAGGTAGCAAAAGACCCTAGCAACCATTGAATTGTGTCTTAAAATTAATTGCAGCTTTGCTATAGTTAATACAACCCTATAAAATTTAAACCCGGTCGAAATATATATATTTTTTGTTTTATAGTATCTCGTCTTTTTCTCTCTTTAAAGTTTACTCCTATGGTATATTTTTTACGAGAAAAAAATTAGCTTGCGTTATTTTATGTCCGATTTCTTTGTAATAATCGTGACTAGGAATGTTCGATATGATATCGGATACTTCGAATATCGGTATTTCATAGCCCGATAATCGATTTTTTACGCCAACGTAGAGCTTATAAATTTCGAAGATTTTTTTAATTTCATTCACAATTTGCTTTTTAATTCGAGTTTTGAATTAGCGAATTTTTTACTATCGATTTTTCCGATATCGATATATTTAATCGCGATATGTCATCGGCACATCGATTTCACTTGTATTAATTATATCGATTAAATATCGAACATTCCTAATCGTTATAAAGAAAAATAATGTAAACCAACGGAAAATTGTCAAATATTGCCAATGTCATATTATTTTTTGATAATTTTTTTCATGATTTCTGAGGTTATAATATTTTTTTATAGCAATTCAAAAAAAGAAAAAAAAAGTCAAATTTTGGGTTCTGACTTCAGTTTCAGATTCAATGATCCCAAATCTGTACTAAGTAATTGACAAGTCTCTCGTCGAGATGCCATTTTTTACTTGTTTACTTTTGTGGGATTGTATAATCGCTAAACTAAGAAAAAAATAATTATGTAGTATAATTAAAAAAATATTTTAATGTTTAAATGATCGTAATCTTAATGCTATAGCCCACAGCATTAGTCTAGTGAAACGAAATTACTTTTAATCAAGGTCCGTAGCGGTTATGAATTTTCCCAACCAAATTTAACCGTTATTTTATGAATTTTATCCTTTCGATCGAGAATACTAGTATTTTTTATTACTTTTTCGATCGTTATTTCAGGTTTAACTTTTTCCATTTTAAAAGTTTGGAAACGGTCATAAAAACTCAGTCTTCTTCTTAACAGTTAAAAATGATGGAAAAAGTTAAAAATCAAGAATGACGATTATTTTTGGCCAAAAAAATAAAATATCAAAATTTAACGAAAAAAATAAAAACCAATCAATAACGATTTTGCAATGATCTAAAAATAAAGATTTTGATACTTAACCGTTATTATCAGTCCTTGCTTTCAAAAAAAAAAAAAAAAAAATTACAAAAATTTAGTTTTCAACTTCTTTTCGTAAATTTTTTCTAGTACACTCTATTTTTTATCATTTTATTTATAGTTTCATTCATTTTTTTAATCCCAAATTTGATTAAGCTACAATACCAACATCAAAATTTTGTAAAATGGTGCCCCATAAATAACTACTTACGAAAGTTTTTAAAATTTGTGAGCCGCCTCGATTTTTCCTCTTTAACAACAAAAAGTTAGTTTGGTTTTATTTATTTTACCGCTAAGTAAAAGTCACAAGTCGTTCGAAACAATGGAATAATGAAAGTATTTTTAAAAAACTGTCTTTTGCCTTATCGCAATTTCAGCTGCAATTAACTTTTTAATTGCTCTCATTTTATAACTAAACGCTTAAGGTATGCAAAGGTATGTATGTACATACATACATATGTACACTAGACTGCATCACCAGAAAATGTTGCGGTTTTTTCACCAGGATTACAAACTATATTATTTTTGAAGACTTCCACCAAAATATTTCGGAAAATACTAAGATTTACGTAAGCTGGACCCATTTGAAAACACCTCTAAAAATTAAGCTTTTTGTGAGTAAAAAAAAAAGTTTTTAAAGTACTTTTTGAAAAAAAATCACCTCAGATGACAAAACAGTTTCAAGCTTAAAAAATCTGCATAGGAATATTAAAACATTTCTTCAATTAAAAAAAAAAAACTATTTTAATTCCTATAATTTTTTTGGGGTAATTTCTAATCGGTGCAGCTCACGTAAATCTAAATATTTTTTAGAAATACAGTATTTTGGCGCCAGTCTTAAAATAAAAGTTCCAATGGAAAAACAGTACCGATTTTTTTTTGCATGGAGGTGATACAGTCTAATGTACATACATACGTACATAAGTATAATGTCATGTGCTACATATGCATGTACTTTTCCACGCCGCCTCAATAAATATCGATTGATAAAAATCTGCAATTAGAAATAGCAGAATCGACTTCACATAATTTTACGCTCACTCAATAATAACGAATATTTTTTTTGCAAAAAAACACTTCTGTGGCAACATTAAGTATTCAAAAACTTTACTAAAATTTCGCAATGCGCTCAATTTTCTACATTAAACGTTTCCGGTAATTTTCGCACAATGCGCCAATACAAATGCACACGCCAACGCACATATATGTATGTATGTACATGAATATAAAAACGCCGTGTATCGTTAAAGATAAAGCCGCAACAATTTCACGCCTTAATAGAAATCACGAGACACTGATTTAGATAAGCAAATACTAAATATCCATATATATGTATCAAATATTGCATGGATAACCGACTTTAACTTTGACATTTGCTTGGAATGCTTTGAGGACTCGCCACAGATAGCCACAGATAAGCTAGTACTATGTAGAATGATCACTCTTCCACCAAAATGGCCAATCCGATGGCCGACTGTGTATATCCGAAGTTTATCGATTAACCGGGTAGAGAAATGGACGCGACGACGTTTCGCACTCAACTGAAATGTGATATCTGTAAAACAGTTTATCGAAGGCATTTCAGCGAAAAGATCCATTAAAATTTTAAACTAACCTTAATCATATCTTGCAACATGCTAGTTACTTCATACATATATACATACATACATATAAAATACAATTTATGCATACATACATATGTACATACGGGTATATATGTATGTATGAAATGGTGATCTCGATGGTCATTCAATAAGTTCATTATTACGTTAATTAGCTTCCTAGTTGTTCATTATGGCGTTTGCAATTGAGTATCTAGCTCCAAAAAAAAAAATACTCGAGCGCGAATGGTGCGAAATTGCTCATTTAGAGCAAGAAGATGCGCAAGATACGAGTGTGGGATCTGTGGCAAGCCCACATCAGAGATCACAGCGACTTGTGCGCTTGTCACTAAATACTACATAAACAGTTTAAAATTGGCTCCAGTGGCTACTAGGGATGTTAATCCCGCGATCACGGACTTTTTCAAGTCCCGAAAATTCTGGGATTATTTGCCAAGAATCCCGGCGCTTTTTATTAGCTAAAAAAATAAAATTGATTAAAAGGGCATTTTAATTCGTCCTTGTGAACCCGAAAAATTTTAATTTTTTTAAATCCTAAAAAAAATTCTCTTTCATTTGGTACCCATTTTTATTCTTTGTTGCGCTGTATTTTTTAAATATTTTTTTTTAGAATTTATGATATCTTTGCAATTATAAAGTTCTAGTAAAAAAAAATTCTAAAACTAAAAACGCAGTTTTACTATATTTGACCCATAGTGTCTTGAGTATATTGATTACTTGGTGTGTTTTGAAATTTTTTTGTTTCAAACTGTTTCAATTTTTTTACTCAGAATTTTTAGAAAAATTTTAGGAATTTTAGGTACGCAATTTTATAACTAAAGCCCATTAAATTACAAGAGGATAAAGTGCAAGTTTCAAGTGACTAAAAGTAACGTTGATTTTTTTATATTTTTTTTTTTGCTGGAGCTGTCACGCCTATCTACCTAAAATTTTTCTAAAAATACTGAGTAAAAAATTTGAAAATTTGGCAAATTTTTTTACATTTTTATAATTTTTGCACAAATTTTGAAATGCGCATTTAAATGCGGTTAATAATATATATGAAGTAGACTTTTGTACAAAAATTTAAATATTAATAAAAGAAAAGAAATATAGACTAGACTGGTTGAAATAAGGCGTTTCTTTTATGAACTCCTTTCAGCCCATCGAGCTTTTTTTCGACATGCCTTAAGTTTCTTTATGAGATATGTACACGCTAAAGTATTGTTAAATGCGTATAAATTTAATTACTGTCTTATTTTGATACTAATGAAATTTTTTTCAACTTAAATATTTATTTATTATTTGTTATATGGTAGGACGGCATGTTAAGTTGTTGGAAAATAATGAATATATCTAAATCCCGGGACTAATACCGGGATCCCGGGATGGTATGAACGATGTTCCGAACAAATCCCGGGATTGCAAAAATCGAAAAAATTAACATCTCTAGTGGCTACATATACTATGCTATGTTCTTATATTGTATGTAGATACTTTTAGAAATACGAGTACATTTTCTTGTACATAGTGAGTAAGTATCTATGTGTGTCGTAAAACTGACGAAGATTTCAATTTAATTTCACAAAATTTAATAATTTGCTACTTTAGCCGGTCATTCTACAAGCATACGCACAGTAAAGCAAAAAAGTTTACGTTTATTAATAAAGAAATTTTTTTAAGCGCCGTCTTTTGAACAGCCGGCTATGTGCTCATCGAAACTGTAATCCGCCAGCAACATTTTATCGTTAGATAATATATGAATCGGTAAAGGTATCGATACAAATAACTTATGTCGATTTATTTAGCGATAAACTTATCGATAACTTACTAATAATAAGGCTTTATTTCGACTATGAATATGCTCCATTATTTGAAACCACAATATTTAATCGAAATCGTTATCGCTAGAATTTTGTTTTAGTTTTCCTCTTTGATTACCTTTGAACAACTGCCAGTTAAAAAACCTTTAATTAAAAAAAAAATCATGTGATACACAGATTAATAGATATCGTTATCGATGTGTTTATCCACACACTGTTATTCATTTATTTATTACTGTATTTTATGGGATTCTCTTCAATATTTTAACATTAAAATGTGAATCGATAAATTTATCGATATATGTGCATATGACTGTGATCACTTTTAGTTATCCGAAATCCGTTAATTCAAAAAATCATTTGCTAAACTTTGATACGAATGCGATACTTATTTCAAAAAATCGTTATCGATTTGCTTATCGAGTATGTAGTAATTCGTTTATTTGTTACTACATATATTTATTGGAATCATCCCTAACATTTGGTCATTATTATGTGAATCGATATATTTATCGATATACATACATAAGTTATCGATTTATTTACCCATAAATGTATCGATAATTTATTACTTATATTTTTAATAACGATGTTTAATCGAAATTGTTATCTTGGAGTTTTCTTTCAATTTACCTATCGATTGGGTGAAGAGCAGGTCGTCTCCGCGCGGTATACT